TTTTTTTTTAAAGAAAAGCTTACATGTGGTCAAATTCATTAGGACTGGAAAGCAGTTTTCTTTAAACAAATAAAATTGATTTTCAGCACGAGTTAGAAGAAATAGAGCAGTAGAAAGGGTGGGGTTTTAGAGACAAGGGCTGGCTAAAAGATACCACTTATTTGCTACATGACCTTGGGCAAGGACAAAAATGCCTAACTTCCTGAGCAGCTCCATCATCTGCAACATGGCAACAATAACACCACAGTCCACAGTGTTATCACAGAGGGCAAATGAGAATGTATTTGTATTGTAATTCCTGAAATCCCATACACATGATTGTTTTTAGGACATTAGTGCACTACACAGTTTTTAATAATTATTGAAGGGTTTTTTGTTTCCAAGATAGATTCGAAAACAGATTTTATTTTAAAATGCATATTTTGCCTTCACTGAAACTCACAGCCCTGTTCATACATCACAAAAAGAAAGAGTTGGCTGAAAGCTGGAGACAGGGACAAGAGCTTGGGAAGACGCAGCAGTGTTACCAAAGGGACACAATCTGTTGCTGTCAGCACAGTCTTCTTTTGACCAGTGGAAGGGTCTTCTCCACCCCTTGCCCATTTCCAACTGGGCACAGAAAAGCCTGCTGAGGGAGGGAGGGCGGGGGGCGTGGCGCGGAATCCTCAGTGAGTGTAACTGCTAGAGCAAACTCAAACCAAGCTTTTATTAGGTTCCAGAATAGAAAGAAGCAAGATTCTAGAGCTGCTCAGAGATGGATCTGCTAGGACGTGGATCTTTCTTGGCAATGGGGGGAAAAAAAGAAAAAAAAAAGATGGTCCCTTGGAACCCTGGTTTCAGACATTGTTCGTTCTTAACAACACTAAAAAGTTATATTCACAATTAAGTTTTCTTCTATAGTGTTTTTCCATTTCATAGAGCAGTTAACACAGGCAGTGATAGGCTGAATGGGGTGGCTGGGGAATGCGTGTGGACCTTGACCAGCCGTGCATTGCATTCTATGGAAACTGTAACTGTAAACCTCGTCCATGTGCTGCTCATTTTTCCTACTTTCTGTTCCCCCTTCTCCTTGCTTTCTTATGCCTTCCATATTTCTTTTTAACTTCTAGATTGCTCTCTCTCCTATCTCCTTACTACACTGAAAGAATGTACAATTTTTTTAAAGTACTATAAGAAAAAGTTTTTAAAATATATAGATACCCATGTTTATATACATTTTTGTCCAGTTGTTAAGGAAACTTTTTTCAAGATGAGGACTATGATAGCACAAAAAACTGTAAGCGTATCACAAATGTATTACTGTTTAAAAAAATCCAACAGTGTTAAAAGTAATAAAAGTAATAAATCTGTGTATATGGGGTTTTTATAATTCATATTTCTATCTTTTAGTACCTAATATTACAAATATATCAAGGCAAACATTGGAATAATTAACGAGTTAAGCCTCCATCTCAAGAAATGAGAAAAAGAACAGCTAAGTAAATTTTACAAAGTTGAGGAAAAGCACTTCTGCTTCTAGCCAAGATGGAGCAACAGGGACAAGACTTACCTTCCTGCCTGAAACAACAATAGAAGCAAACGAAATACATGAAACAAGAGTTTTCAAAAACAATGGACATTGGAAAAAGGGACAGTCATCCCCAAGAGACAGGAAACAAAAAAAGTGAGCCATTTGAATTCCCCAGCTTACTGCCTGAAGGGATTGTGCAGGCCACGGCTTAGGGAGGGAAACCCAGGCAGAGTCGGACAGATCCCTCAACTTGAGGAGGCAGAGCTAAAACTGCATGGAGACCAGGACAGCTAGTGTCCATAGGACACAGCGCCCAGAGAAGAGAGAGCTGCAGAGGACCCTGGAGATCTGCAGAAGGTACTCCTTGAACCAGTATGTGTGTGTGAGGAAACTGCCCAAGACTGGGGAGTCATCCAAAAGGGTTATAGGAAATGATGCCTGGTGCTCACACAGGGTGGGGGAACAGTGACTAATCCAACAAGCAAGACTGGAAACACTCATAATTCACAGGTCATTGGTTAGAGAACTCAGTAGTGGGGAATAATTAGCCCTAGAATAAACGTTTCTTTGAAACTGCCTAACAAACCGTAAAAGCAAGACCTGAAAGGATTTAACTGTTTCTAAGAAAATTAAATGCATTCCAGAACAAATCTCCAGGAGATTTATAAGAAGACAAAAACATTCAGCAATCAGTAAGGTAAAATTCACAATGTCTGGGATCCAATCAAAGAATGACAGAAATGCTTTCACGGGGAAACACAACCCATAATAAGAACAATCAATCAATCAAAACACTTAGAACTGACGCTGAAGTTTAGAATTAGCAGAGAAGGACATTAACACACAGTTGTTAGTATGACTGTATGCCGTATGTTCAAAAAGTTAAGTAGAGACATTGAGAATATAAAAAAAAAAAAGACCCAAACTGAACAGCAACAATGTCCTGGTTGAAAAATACACTAGACGGGATGAACAGCACCATTAGACATCGCAGAAGAAAAGATTAGTCAACTTAAAGGCACAGAATAGAAATTATTGAAAATGAAACACATAGAGTAAAAAGAATCCCCCCCCAAAAAAGAAGTATAAGAAGAGTATCAGTGAGCTGTGGGACAACTCTAAGCAGCCTAATATATGAGTAATTGGAATCCATGAAGGAGGAGAGAGTAGGGAGCTTCAGAAAAAAAAATTTTTGAAGAAATACTGGCCATCAAATTTTTCCAAATTTGATGAACATTAGAAATCCAAAGATTCAAGAAGCTCAAGGAAACATGAAGAAAATCAGGACCTACACACAAGAATGAAGAGCACTGGAAATGCTAACTACATAGGTAAACATACACAAGTCCTTTCTTACTATTTAAGTGTTTTTAAAGTAATTGACTGTGTAAAAAAAAAGTGTATTTGGGGGGTTCTAACATCTGTAAAAGTAAAATGCACAATAACAATAGCATAAGGCTGAGCAGGGAGAAATGGAAGCATGCTATTGTAAATGTTTATAGCAACCAAGCAAGCACCCGGTCAAGAAAAAGTCCTGTTCAAAGTCATAGGAACATTTTGTGGCATTCTTGTCCTCACCCTGTCACCCTCTCCCTGGCACTGTGGCAGTTGTGGTCTTGGTCACAGTTGAGGTCTTGAATCGGCAACAAGGTTCCCAGTTTCCTCCCTTGAACTGGAAAGGACAGAGCAGACCTTATTTGCAAATGATTGCATATGTGTGTGCATCTTATTCCATGTTCCTTTCTCCTTGCCTTCTTCTGGATTGATTGCTCATCTATTTCCTTCCCTCTATTTGTTCGAGATGTATTTTTTCTATTCTTTAGTTTGATTCTCTTGATTTATCAAAATATATTAGTCTAACTGAAAATCTATTAAAAGATTGTATTGCATTGTATTCTTTAGTACTTTCACCTATGTCCAATCACTCCTCAGCTACGTCTAATGTGTTGTTAAACTCATCCACTGACTTCTTAAATTTTATTATCTCAGATCTATCACTTTTTTTGAACTCATTTTTGTTTAATTTCTTGTTCATTTGTAATCATCTTTATTTCTATGACCAGCTTTTTCACACCAATGTCTGAGAAGTCCGAGGCATCTGTGTGACTATCTGTTCTCTTATTTCTCCTGATTTCTATGCATGTTGTCTTTTCAAGATGTCTTTGGTTAAATCAGGGAAGTTACTTTAAATGGCTTCACTTTAAGAGGGCTTTGTCCAGGATCGATTATCCATAGGTAATAAAGTTTTCCTGTCTTTACAGCCCATTCTGAAGAAGCTCTTTATGCCTGCTTCATCTGCAAAATGGGGTAACAGTGCTCCAATCAGTCTACCTGAGGATTAAATGGCAGCTTTGAGTTCCTGGATCCAGTCAGACCTGAAACTAGTGTTTCCGTTATTTTTGCTTGTTGGAGCTGGGTTCCTCACAGCAACTACCTTGATTTTTGCCTATCAATAGCGTAATTGGGAGGTTTGTGTGTGGTAATCCTGAACTGAATGACTCTGAGTGGGTCTTACCGGGTCTAGTGCAGACAGAAGGCTGGGGGGAATGCTGAGACCCTGACTGTGGGAATGGTCCCTTAATAGCCACTGAGGATTCCCTTCCTCAGTGTGAAGAATTAGGGGCTTATTTCCAGACACCACCCATTTGTCTCCTCCACTCCACCCCACAGCTATTCCCAGGAACCCTTTCTGAGGTGATAGTTGGCACCTGCAGGAGGGGTCAGGTGAGCAATGTTCAGTGCTTAAATGGCATCTTATGCTCACACTATGTGGGAGCTATTCTGTAGGAGGTGCTCCAGCTTACTCTTCTCTGTGATAAGGCTGGAGGGATCCTGCCTGGTGAGGTAGCTGGGGTCATGGTGGGATGGGGGAAGTGAGGCTAAGTACAGGGGTAACAGACAGTACTTTTACCCTGTCACGTTGGCTGGTTTGAGCCGGATATACCCTCTGTAGTTCTCAAGAGGACACAACAGGAGGCACCTGAGGTGGTCTGGATAGTTAGCTTTATGCCCAGAAACCACACATTTGCCCACGTGATGCCTGTCTGTTCCAGACACACCTTTTCTCCATCAGCTATAGTGCAGGTCATGTCCACAGAAAGATTTGTCCTGGGCCCAGAGGTCAGACGCCCCCTTGATACCAACACCAGTGTAACTGTCCCTCCCTAACTGACCTCCTGACACAACTTGAGCAATGGCTTGACCTGTGTACCTCGGTTTCCCCATCTGAAAGTGGAGATGACAACTCGGGTGTGGGACTGTTGTGAGGATTCCGAGTCAACATGTAGAAAACACTCTGGAAAACACTGGGCATGCACTTAGTGCTGTGAATCGTGCCTGGCACGTAGATAGTGCTTCAAAAGCACTTAGAATAGCACCTGGCACACTACACACTCAGAGCAGCATCCATCACACACCTAGCATTCAATAAGCACATCTAACCACACAGGCACACAATTGGTACTTAGTATGTGAAATAAAAACCCCACACTGCCGAGAAATACACTGGCACTTTATGTATACACAGAGGAAGGTACAGGGTCTTGATAAGAAAATACACTCTTGTGTTCAGGTGTACCCCACCACCACCCCCTCAGAACACCCCAGGTTGAGAACAGTGGAAAGGGAACAACCATAAATAGAGAATAGAAGGAAAAGTTAATGATCTAAGGGGCAAACACAGGCAGGGAAACACTGCTGGGAGGAGACACAACCTCTTCTTCCCCAGGAAAGAGCAATAAGGCGGCACAGGAGAACAGTAGCCACAACTAAGCCTGCAATGCCTGGCATAGGGCACCTAACACCTAACACGGTTAAGAGGACAGGAGGGAGAAGGAAAGGAAGAGAGCAGAGATAGCTTCTGTCCTTGTGGCAGGGCCAGGGCCTGCTCAGTTTAGATCCATAAGCTCAGAGTTGGGTGGGGGTCCACAGGCAGGAGGTGCTGGGGGGTCAGATAAGCTGGCCTGGGGTTGCAGGCGACGAGCTACGTCCTGGCGTTGGTAGAAGAGGACGTAGGCTGCCTTGGACTGTGGGGAGAAGACAGGAGTCAGTGTGGATTGGGGAGGAGGGAGGGCCGGGAGAAGGCGAGGAGAGGACGGAAGTCACACCTCAATCTGATTCTCAGTCACAGGCGAGACGCTGTTGTCATCAAAGTAGTGCCACTGGCCACTGTCCTTGTTGCAGGCAAATGTCGTGTCTGGAAAAAAGGGAGAGCTGTCCTTACCCATTCTCTGGCCCCTAAGAGGTGTCCACCAGGTTCACTCTCTCACTCCTCCCACCCTGATGACCTCACCACTAGCTCACACCCTAGTCATCCCCCGGGGATATACTACACCCCCCACCAAGGCATGCCCCTGCCACATACAGTGTCCATCACGCAGGCCCCCATAATGGTTGGACACCGCGATGAGATCATATTTGTACAGCTCTGGGGCTGACTCATTCTGAGGCTTGATGACAAACTCGGAGAAGTCCAGGTCCCTGTGGGTGGGGAAAGATTAATACCAGCATGCCCTCTCCCCATTCCCTGCCTTCCCCTCAGCCAGCCCCATGGCTCCAGACCGGATAGGAAATTCCACAAGGGTGTCCAGCTTCTCGCGGGAGAACTTGGTGTAGGAAAAGCGCTTCAGGTGGATAATGAGTGTCTCAGGCAGCTTCCACAGGTCCAGCTTCTTGGTAGCCAGCTGGTGCTGCTTGCAGGAAGGGCAGTACCTGTAGACAGAGCCTAAGTCAGTACACAAACACTTTCTGGGCAGGCTTTGCACTAGATGGCCTTAGTGAGTCCTGTCTGGTACAGAGATTTCTAATTCGCCTGTCACTCTACTTTGCTCTTCACATGTTAAAATCCTGTCATTCATTCATTCATTCATTCAAGTGCTCACTGATTGTCTTCTGTATGTGCTTTTATACTAGTGTATACTTTTGTTTGGTTTCTGGTCTATAAGAGACTAGTCTAATTTTAGAGTATGCCTCTGACCCTCCCGTTTCCTCTTCCTATTTCACTCACTCACTCACGCGCCCACCCACCAGGTATTTACTAACTGTACTGCTAAATCCTTTGGCACTACTTTGTATTTCTGTTCCCTTTCTGTTTCATGGAAATGTTGGTCTTATTTTTGAAACTGGCTGTATCTTTTTGGTTCTCTCTTTATATTTTATATTTTGTTTATTCTACAAAAATCTATTGAGTTCCTAATGCATACCCCACACTATTATAATCAGTGAGAAGAGACACACAAAAAGTCTTCACCCTTAAAGGGTTTACTCTAACAGTAAACAGGCAAAAGGGGATCTGGGATGTGACATCAAGTGATGTTACTGAGTTAGAAACAAAGTAATGCTTGGCCAGAAAAGAGCACTGGGAGGCAATGTAGCAGAAGTGATGGCTGGGGGAGAAGTGGCTCTTAATCTCGTAATAAGAGAACATCTCTCTCTGATAAGGTGACATTTGATCAGACACCTGAGCAAAATAAAGGAGTCCTTTTGAGAACTGAAGAGCATTCCTGTGAGAAGGAACACCCAAAGGCTCTGAGGTGGGAATACGATTGGGTAGTCAAGTGACAGGAGGGTTTGAGTGAGGGAGAGCGGGGAAGAAGGTAGATTTAGAGGGAACAGAAACCTGGGCAGGTGATCCCATCCAACTTTAGCCCCAGAAACCTTGGCCTTGACTC